TCGGGCCGTGTTCCACCCCCCGTCGATCCAACGTTTCGCTCGGCCGCGACGCGGAAGCGAAGGGAAATAAATTACACGGCACAGCGTCCAACGGCTACGTCTAGTTCGCTTCACCCTCCTCGAAGCCTCGAGGAACACCTCCCTTCACCCCTGCTTCGCTTTCTCGCAGTTCATCCCGTGCCCCTCTACATCCACATCCACATCCACATCCACCCACCCACCCATGGATCGTGAATCGAGCCTCCAGCTTTTCTTCGTTCGCGTCTTTCTTCTCCGTTCAACAACGACGACGACGACGACGACGACAACGAAGAAGAAGAAGAAGTCGCTTCCATCGGACTGGGAAACATCTCGACGAGGTAGCTTCCACCAATTCAGGCAGCGTTATTAATGCTTTTTAATTTCCAGCCGATCCTGCCCCCGTAGTCCAGCCACCCTCTCGTGCTGCTTTAACAACGGCCATGTTAACAAATTGTGCAATTAGGATAGATCCCCCGGGAATTTGGTCAGCCGGATCACCGGGCTAATTGCTTTCGCGGCTCGCACCGTTCCACCCCCTTTCGAATTTCGCGATGGGTTCTTCTATAAGGTTTATTACGAAGATGCGTTGTTATGGCTAGGTTTTTGATTAGGTTTGATGGACAATTGAATGAAAAAAGTCGTTTTGTTAAGTTCGTTATCTCGTGTTGGAGGGATTATGGAGTTGGAGATCTTCCTGTACACTTCTCAATTAAATACAATCCAATCTAATTACGATTGGTAGATAAAATACAGTTTTATCCAAATCTGAAACTTATTATATAAAAAATCGCTAATAGATAAGAGAAACAGTGGACTTTTGTTGCTTGTCCCATAACGAGTTTATACAAATAAAACTCAACATTCTACAACAGTTACGCCAGACACGATTTTTTTCTTCGAATCAACCTGACAATAATAGACACGGCCGGCAAATTTAATTCAAAACTATATTAAAATTCTACAGTCACCACAATTTTTTTTCCATTATACACTCTATCTTGGAGAAAAAGAGAAAAATTCTCAGAAACTGTTTGTGACTGTCCGTTGTTTAACTTGACACAATTTAATTTCGACACGAGAGGCAGGGACGTGTGTCACCGGCGCGCGATCGATTCGCAGCGATGATCACGGCAGAAAGATTTCGGCGGAGAGAAACGGTATCATTAAGATCTCATTATTCAAATTCGACCTTTGCATACTTAATCGTGACGGTGCTTCGTGTAACCACTATACCCGAGGACTGGCTGCCAAAGATAAAGCATAATATCGCGATTCCCGACCGCGTAATGATGATGACCGGCTTGCCGCCGCGCGGATAGCCAGGTAAGGGCTGCGCGTTCGCTACATAATATGCGTAATGTGAAAAGAGGCCATTTTCTCGGTGCCTGGCGCGAGCAAAACGACCTATACCCCGGTAAATTCGTGTTATCAGTGGCGATGGAGAGCGTGCTCGGGGGGCCACGGGCCGGACCTCGGTCGAATGAAGTTACCAGCCGGAGAATGCTCCGGCTCATCCCGGCCGACCCCGTGAAACGCGCGGAATTATGCCGGCCATGCCCAAGCGTGACGCTGGATTGAGTTATTTCGCGATTTCATTTGTCATGCTTTGAACGAGCTCTCTACGCCGACGCTCCTCTATCTTTTATCCATTAAGCATTTACCAAGTTGCGTTTAAGTAATAAAAAAAGCACGGATTATGAAATTCTAGCTTTCAGAAGATATCCTGTGTTATATCTGTAGAAAAAAAAAAAAAAATTTAACTTTTCGTTTATCCACCATCGTGTACAATTTGCAGATAATGAAAAAAAACTCTGAATTACACCACGATAAATCGAAAGTTGGCAGCATTCTCTTATATCGGTCGAGGAATCCGCAAATCATCGTCGATAATTGCAGTTCTCTCGTAAATATAAAATATTCGAGAGATTAACTCAATCCGGACAGATCGCGTGAGAACACCGATATTTCCACGAAGCTGTTCCCTCCTGCCTTCGTTTCGTGAGTTTCTTCTCCTTTTCTTTTCTTTTTTTTTTTTTTTTTACCTCGATTCATCCGGTAAACGGGCAAAAGAAATGAGAAAAAGAGAAAAAAAGGCTCGTCCTCGAGATTCGGCCGCGTGAAACACCAAAGAGTGTCTTTCGCGGGACAGGAAGGACTATTAATTACTGTCCGCGATGGCTGAGCGCACGGGTAAGGAAAGTAATTATGTGTCGCAGCCAGCTACTTGGGACTTAAGACGTACGAGCCGCAACAAACGTAATTTTTTAACGCCTCTTCCGAGGCTGTTCGAAAGAGGAAGAAGGAGAGGAATTCTCGACACCTGACACAACATTCCGAGATCGCAAAACGTGGCACGAATATAAATCGGAACCTCTTGCAATTAAACACTGGCGTTCGAGACTCGTAAATACTAAATTAAAAATTTATGTGCCATACTTTTCTTCTTTATACGTTTTTACATATACAGGTAACATTTGAATATTTATAGAAGTTTATGTATATTTCATTACGGAAAGTAGTATGTATTCAACGAACTTAATGGATAAAAAATTCTCTTTTCTTTCCATGACACACATATACGTTTCAATTTGCTGTTATTGAAAATCACGCGACGCCACAGTAACGTTATCGATCTTCGTATAATAAAAAATTTTCTTTCAAAGAAAGAAACTCTGTCTTCTAACGACCTCGCTCTAAACAAACGTCCTGCCTATCTTCCAATTCCACCTGCCTTCCAATTTTCGTAACCAAGTTTTCGGTAAAAGTTACGTCAGAAGCAGCAGCCGCCAACCTGCGAAAATAGAGAGGAGTCCACGTCATTTTCAAGCACGGTTGATTCATTGATTTTCCAACTGGAAGGAGAGGCGAGGAGGATCGCCAGAAAAGGTTAAAAAGTACACGGTGACAAGATCGATTCGATGCCGCAGCTCGTTTTCCATTTACCCGATCCCTCCATAGAGCCACCAGCGGTCTCAAAGGAACCGTGCGAGTGACAAATACAAACCCGAAGACATTCCTCCGATGGATGTCATTGATTAATCCCGGCGTATGGATTGCAAGACGGTGAAGTAGGCAGTCAGTCACAGGCACATATACAATATGGCCGTGATTTTTCACGTCCACGCTCGGATACACCGCTTTATCACCGCGCGTGTCGTGAAAAAAACAAACATCGAAATTGGATTACGCTCGGCGCGCGGCGGACAATCGGCCAGGCCGGACCGTTCTTATACATTAGGAACGATGTTCCGTTCGATACGACTCGGCTCGGGTATTTATAATTGATTTTTCTAGACGTCCGTCGTTCCGATAGGTTCCGCCAGTGTAATTGATGTCTTCAATCTTCGCTCGAACGTAACGCGGTTCTAATCGCTGTCCGATGCAGCGGCACCGGTGTGAAAAGAAGTTGACCGTGTAATTTGTATTTTATCCGCGCCGCTCTTCTCACTGTTTTCAATGAGCGTAATGGGTAAAATTGCCTTTTCTTTCCATTAGATCGTTTTTTCCCCTCCGATCTTTCTCCTTTTTTTTCCCCTTTATCCTCGAGAAGCACGCGTTAGGTACACGTTTGTTCAATTTGCGCTGAAAGAAGCGTGTAAATTGCTCATCGTGAAAGAGTGACGTGTATTCCCATTAGAATGCAACGCTGGTAATTTAATGTTCCAGCGTGTTAGGACTGCGAGTCGCAATTGCGTAAGCCTCTGCGAACTTTCCAGGATTACGTTGCCTTCTCGCGTTGGTGAAAAAAAAGGGAAGGAAAAAAGAAAAAGAAAAAAAAAAAAGGAAAAAATACGATTCAGAGAGTGCAATCAGGTGGCTATTACAATACGAGTTAGCCAAGCTGGCAGGAATGAGTAAGGATGGCTACACGAGGCATCGCGAATTAATAAACACGTTCTTCGTCTCCCGAACAGCCTTTGAATTTCCAAGCGTCCAAGCATCCGCCGATTAATACGTAAAAAGCGGAGTTGGCCGGTTCGTCAAGCGGACATGTTCTCGCGAGCTCGGTTATCTCGAGTAACAGGGCCGAGACGTGTTCCTCGTGCTCATATCCCTCGGCCCGTGTTCACCGTGTCTCGACCGTGTTGGAAACCTCCCCGCCCCCCTTTCACGATCGTCGAGCCTATAAGCGTCGCACACGGAATCGCGACTTTGAAAAATCGACTCGCTCGTCGGATGGAAAAACCGCGCGCGCGCGCGTTTGTCCTCTCGAGCTCGAGACACACACACACACACACACACACACACACACACACACACACACACACACACACACACACACACACATACACACAGTGTGTTATTTGGCCTGTATTTTGTTCAAAGTTTAGAATTCGGCTCTAAATACAGAAGGGAACGCGCGTTCAACGCGAGTTAGGCGACGATTAACCTCTTGATGATGACGATTGAAAATATCCTCACTTTTCTATCTATTTCACAAGGATGTAAAAATAAACTCAGGACTGAAAACTCAATGTAGAAAGCTTCACTCTTTAAAACGAGACCAATTGTATCATTGTATCTGCTTAAATTGTCAACAATTTCTCATTGTTGTTAGTAATTATGCCGTGTCTTTCAATTCAGCTTACATAATTGTACACTTTTTTTTTTTTCACCAAATTCGACTGACTTTTCGTCAAATTAACATCTTTCTTACACCTAAAGTTTTACTCGTTCCACTTTCACTCGCTTTCAATTTCTGCACAAACGATATGCTACCCTGCACACGATATTCATTTCCTTTCGTCGCTCATTCATGCACAGTTGTAAAACAATTTCACGTGTTAAAAAAGAAAAAGAAAAAAAAAAAAAAAATAGAAACCTAGTTGGTCGATCGATCAGCGAAGCGGCAGAAAGCGTTTTGGGGCAACAATCGCGCAGAGGAAACGATCAACGTGGGGGCAACATCGCGTGACAACGGTGCACCGTAGAGATCCGAAAAACAAATAGAGAGAAAGGTGTGACAGAGTGTGAGATCTGATCTAAGAGGTGCGTTATTTTTCTTTTTCTGTTGTCATAGTGAACATCGAGCAACTCTGGGTTATTCCTATAGTTTTTGTAATATTGACAACGGAGGATTTTGGGGGGATCGGTACCTCCGGATCCTGGATCTGCTCGGAATCCGCCGATGTGCTCGACGTCTTCAGGATGCTGTACAGCTTTACGTAGGGGGCCTTGATCAGCTGTTAGCCAATATAATCGGCCGTTCTTAGCGGTTTCTTTGGCTGGATTTCCACCTGGTTCCCTCGACACTCGCATCGAACGCTACACGTTTCGCACCTATCAGAATCTCTCGTGCAAAGCCATGAGCACCAGAGTTAGACTCTTGAGCTATCACGAATTTCGAGAGTTTATCGAGATTCTGGAGGAAAGATTCTGAAATTCTGCCAATTTCGCGAGCTCTGTAGAATTCTTTCATTTTGATCTCAAAAAAAAAAAAAAAAAAAAAAAAAACATTCCAATAATAACATATCTGCCAAAAATTTTCGATCACTCTCGAAGTCGATGCGAGGATCGAGAGATGCGCTGGAAACACTAACGCTAATTTTCTCTTAATTTAGAGAAAATGAAAAAAGGAGGGGAAAAAAAAAAAACAAAACAAAACAGATCGGCCAGAAAAAAGAAAAAAAAGCGACGTGGATGAAGGTCCGATGACGATGACGATGGTGAAACTCGGTGAGTGAACGTGGGCTCGCGAGAAGACAAAGCTGTGCGCAGCCATTGGGTGCTAGCAACCAATCGATAAAATATTCACGACATGAGAACGTAAATGAGAACAGCAGAAACGAAGAAAGAAAAGTGTCGAGAGGAATGCTGCAACCGGAGAGTGTTGACGCAATTAACGCAAGACGACAAATGAAACGATGACTGTGCACTCGACGACGATGAACCGAGTGCGTTGAACCCTCAGCTGCGGAGAATTCGCGGCTGAGATCGTGAGATGAGTCAAAGAAAAAAAATATCAAATTATTGGCGAGGATGCTGATACCGAGGTGTGACGAGCGAGAACAAATCAGATTGACAAATGTGTATGTATGAGTCGATTCGACGGCTAATTCGCAAACACACGTAATCACGCTGAACGATCTCTGTTATAGTGTTCTCCAATATGGAGGTCTGTTACAACGAGTTTGTTCAAGGTTACGAACTTCGTTACAAGTTAATATTATTGTGATAAAACTATTATTATTAATATTATTATTTAATATTAAATACATAGTAAAAATAATATTAAATATTATTTAATGTGTAACATATTATTAGCACGTATAATTTATTGTATAACAAACGCATTTTTTACACAAAATGTTCAAAACGAACATAGCAAATATACACTATGGAAATTTTTAAACGAAGATGGAAGCGGATACACACTTTTTAACCCCTCGCGCTGGCAACTGGATTGCGGACCATAACGAGTGACCGAACCGTACACAATAAATCGTCGCTTTCTCTTTCTTTTGAACTCGTCGGTATAACATCACTGGATAGAAGTTATTGAGAGGTAATGAACTTATCATTTGCTTCGCCTGCGTTGCATTTACACTTAAATATACTTATAAAAAAACTGAGGAAATATTACAATTTTGGAACAAAGAAATTCTCGACGCGCGTGGCACGTCATTTCCAGCGCAAGAGATTAAATTGTAACGTAACGTAGCTCCCTGACACTTCGATAACAAGTTGAGAATTTATTCTCCCGAATAATAACGTTTGATAACGTTAAAGTGAATACGTCGAAACGGAATATTCAATTCCGAGAGACGCGGCAAGCAAGGGCGTTCGAAACGAGCGTTCAGCGTGGCAACGGGCGTTGAAAACGAGGAAAAAAATATGATCGTCGATGAGCAGCTGAGAAACGAGGAGAAGTTTCCAAAATCGTACCACTTACCTCCCATGATTCTCTCGTCAGGTCGGAAATTTCGTCGCTGTCTTGGCTGCGGGATTTCCCCTCCTCGGTGATCTCGCCAGTTTTCCCAGCCTCGTGCGGCGATAATTCCGGCGACAGGTCCGTGTCGGTGTCCAACAGTATGTAACCGCGTTCCCGCCAATAATTCTCGTCCAGTTCTCCATAAAGCGACGGCACCCACGCGTGAATGAACCTGTACAGGTCATCCACCCTGCGAACACCAACAACACACGGTTAAAACACGTTATAGGTTTGTTTTTCCCGCTACCCGAGATACTTCCGAGGGAATTTTTTTTCTCGTTCACTCGCGCAGCTACGAGCTGATAACCATAATCGGTGTTGCGCAACATCAATGCCGTTGCAACGTTTATCCTAACGTGGAACGAGATTACGTAGACTAATTGAAACGTGGACGAGTGGAAAGAATTGGAGAAATTTTCAAAAATTTAGAGTGGATTCCCGGGGAAATTCGGAATTATCGGTATTATTATTTCAAAACGAAGAATTTCATTATAAATAATTTATATGTACGAGCCGCAAAGAAATACGACACGATAGAATGTCATTCTGTTGGAAACTAGTTTCCCTTTCGGGAATTACGTCTTTTTTTCCCCACTAAAAAATAAGACAATTCCAATTTAACTTTCTCAATTAAAATTTTTTGAATTTAAAAGAATACTTGGCCATACCACGGAGATGTTCGATGTATCTTTTGAATTCAAAAATTGAACGAGAAAGTTAAATTGGAATTTTTCTTGCTGATACTTCAAGAACATTGCCGGTTGCGCTGGCAACTGATTGCGGACCATAACGAGTGGCCATATACCGTATACAATAATTCGTCGCATTCCTTTTGAACTCGTCGACACGATATCACTGGACAGAAATTACTGAGAAGTAACAACTTTATCCATTTGTTTTGCCTATTTTGTTTCCACTTAAATATACTTAAAACTGAGAAAATACTACAAAGAATTCTTCACGTGCGTTAATCGTCACTCAACTTCAATTCTAATCTAATTCTCAATTTATTGTGATCATCCAATAGCTGAATAGTACCAGATTTAATTAATTATTATTCTAAATGGGAGTTCCATTACAAACAATACATAACTAAAGAAATATAACGATAAAATAACATTTAGGTAAGAAATAAACTAGAAATATGAAAACTCCAGCTTTCAACTTGTTTCATACGATTCTGTAAGACACTTCAGTTCCAAAAATTCTCACAAATAAAGGAAAATCTCGTCTTCACCTTCGATTGACGAACGGTATAATGCTCTGCACGGCGTTCGAGACATGCTGGTTGTAAACGAAATTCACCACGTTGCCGACGCTGCTCAATGCCCAATTCATTTTGCTGTCAGGTGTCGTACTCGTTCACTTGGCGCGATTCTTCCTCGTGTCTGTCTCTCTGTCGCGAAACCGACTTGACTTTCTCTAACAGATATCCGTTCCGAGTGTCGACGACCACGCAAGGACGTTTCCTACTTCCTCCGGTGACCACCTTCCACGATGATCTCTTCGTTCCATCAGAGTTTCAGAGTTCGTGTCAGAGAATTTATTTCAAGTATTCTGAATTTTTTTTCTTCTTCGATCACTCCTGACGAGCTACAAATTTTAACAAAATTCGTCGAAAATCGGAGTTCAATTTCGTTTTGCTGTTCTTGGGAACGAACACTGAACCAATTTTGAATGTCACTTTCGTTGTTCTTTGAAATCGAAACACCGAATATAATTATTAAATTTATACTAATTTTTCAAATTAAATATATATATATATAAATTTATAAATATATATATATTTTTTAATAAATAAAATAATAAAATTTAATTTTTTAAAAATATATTTATGTTTAATTATATTAATAATAATTTTACAACAAAATTAATTATTTATGAATTTTTAATAATTTTATTAATTAGACTATTAAATGTTATAAAAGAAACTCAACGAAAGTAATTAGAATTTCATATTATTCAATTTCATCTTTTATCATCAATTATATTTATATTTTTTATTCTTATTAACAATAATTTAATTACATTTTCACATACAAATTCAAAATTTTTAATAAATTTCTTTTTAATTAATTTTTTAAAATAAAAATTCCCCACAAGCTTGTGCTTATGATTTATTTCTTTCAGTCAACGTCAATTACAACACACGAGGACAGAGCGATCGCGGTCGAACTATGAACTAGTTTCGCTAATTCCACGAGTTCGTTTCGATCGTTCTTTGTAAACTTGTCTTGGAAAATATGCACAACAGGTTGCAACACTGAGGGACGGAGCTAAAAACGTGACGCAACAAACGCGAATCCCGGAGAGACACTTGTTAGAACCATCTCGCTCGACTGAACAAGAGTTAGACGAGTGAATCACGTAGGAATGATGTGTGTATATTTATTACGGTTACTCACGATGATGTAAGCGCAGTGCAACTGCAAGTGCGAAATTTAACCGATTCTTTTTTTCAACGAGAAACGAGTTTTACAAAATTGAACACGCATATGGATTTTTGACATTAACATTTTACCGTGAAAGTGTAAAATTATTGTATTGTTTTGTAGAATATCTTGGCTTTTCAGAAACAATTTTACAATTTCCCTTGTTTCATCGTCGCTATTCTGGCAAGTGTAAATTTGTTTTCAATCGCGTCAATCAGTCTCTTGCAGCACAATTAATTTAAATGAAAAATTGCCAATTTAAACTTGTTATAACTTTCAGTCAGGAAAAGATCATATAACAATCTACATACGTAGTTTCATTTTAAAACGCTTCCGTTTTCACTATCCTGAATTCCTTTTTTCTAAGATACTTTAACACCACGTGACGAATAAAAAAGTGTTGTTTTCTTTAAAACAGAAATTATAAAAATTCATACATATGTAACTGACACTGAAAAATTTTACTTGCGACCAAGTTCGTCGCTGTCTTGAGGATTAAAGTTTCCCATTTTAAACAACCTCTTGAAACGTGCTGTTCTATTGAACTTTGAAAATTTAAAAAAAACTTCTAAATCTAAACGTCTAAACCTAATCTTAATGTTCAAATTTGCAAAAAAAAAAAAAAAAAAAATATCATACAGGAAGTTTTAAGGGATAATTATCGTTGCAAAGAGGAAATTTCAATTTTCAAAACCGTGGCGAAACAAGTTACAGGAAACTTTTTTTCAATGCTTTTACAGATGATTTGAATTTCTACAACTTTTTAGGATAAATGTACTCTGATTTTCTCGCCGATTAGACGATGTCGAAGTAGAAGAAACGAGACCAAGTACAACTCTCGTGTGATTTTCTATTACAAAGTAACAACAGTTTAAACTGTCGACAATTTTTCATCATTATGCTGCCTTTCAATCATGTTTTTTACCGTGTATGTAGCTGACTTTTTCAACGATAACGCGACTCAATCCTCTTTCTGCGAAACGTGCGAAATTGAAAGAGAAGGGGAATGCGAAATTACAAACAGATTCGATTTAAAGTGAATGTTTTTTCTCTCTCTCTCGTTTTCTGTACGATATGTAAAAGCATTTTTATCTGTTTGACATTGTCCGACATTGTTCGAACCAATTATATCACTATCACTTCTGTTATCGTCAATGTGCCATTGTAACTGTTGCTACAATAATAAACAATCGCTGAACGCTTATTGTAAAATGAAAATGATAATACCAGAAATCGACATGACGATAATTATTAGATTATTGCTAATTAATAATATTAGTGATTATTGCAATCACAATATAATTTTAAGTCTAGACTAAAACTAAAATAAATCTGTAATTTTTCCATGATATATATGTATATATTGATATATATATTCAGAAGAAATAATTTTTAAAACATAATGAGGAAATCACGTCTGAACTTAAATTAAATTTGAAGTTAATAAAATTAGTCTTCTCTTATATTGTGATGCTTCATTAAATAAAAAAAATAAGTGGGAAGAAACTTTTGGCCCACCCAAGTTACTTTGGATGTTTCAAGTGTATATCATATGTTATGTTTCAAGTGTACAGAGCTTGTCGAAATCTGCAATTTAATTGTGATAATATTTGACTCACGGATATTTACTCTTCGTTGGGAAAATAAACACGAAAGAGTGCAAAGGCGATACATTTCGTTTAAATATTGGCAGCTCGCGCGTCCGGATAAACGGACTAAAGCTAAGAACAAACATAATAAACCTGTTTAGACAGAATTGTGCTGCACGTACTAACGACTAACGAAAGAATGATTTAGAAAGAAAAATCTAATGCATGAATTACCATGTGATCGAAATAAAACTATCATACACAATCGTACAACTAATTTCCTTTAATAAATCCTTCTTTCATTTCGTCACTGTACCGAGCACTGATGAAATGAAATAGTACGTTCACACGAGAGAAGGAGCGACTTTCGAAAACTCGACTCGAGGCACACCGTGTGCCTGTCGCGTTTTCTTCGCGCGGCCAGACTAAAATATCGCGAGAGTGGAAAAGTCACGAGTGTTAAAAACACTCGATGATACGCTGAACAACAGGGTCACGTGCACCGCCGTGCACGATTTTTACGTTTCAGGGTAATCAATTTATACACACAGTCCCAACGTTTGTTTGTGTTTATCTACTCGTTGCGAAGCAATCGATAAAAAATGTACCGAGGCATTTACTGATTTATATTCTGATAATTCTGACATTGATTCAGTCGATACATCATTTTTACGAAAAACAATAGATCCGTTGTATTCGATTCGGATATTGAATAACTGAATAATATTCGTATCTACTGTATTTCATTCAAAATGGGAAAGGTCAGTTCCGAGTGGCAGTCAACGTTATCGGATTGAAAACATTTGTAATCAACAGTTACGTCGAGCAATACAGGGTGTTCCGTAATGGGAACATGCAATAGGACCTCCACTTGTGGGACCCATTTCGGGATTGTACGCCTAAAAATAATGAGAAAAAGTCATATCAAATGTATGTATGTCCTATCTGTCTTCGTTTATGAGATATAATGAATTTTTTGGTTTAATTACTTTTAAAAAAGGTGCTCGAAATGACCACCTTGCGTTTGAAGACAAGCCTGCACCGCGTCTTGTCATTCATCTGGTTACTCTCTCTATCGTTCCTGGTGTTTCTCGAATTTGTCGGAAGCCTTGCTCTATTCTATTTCGTAGTATTTCANCATCATGCATAAACCGCATACGAATAATCTAATATCGACTGGAACTTCCTCTAATATTTCGTGTAAACGCGTGCTCAAAGAATCAACGTACTTTTTGTGCCTGTTAGTTTCCCATTAAGAAAAAAAGGTCCAATTAAAAATTTATCAATCATTCCTGCCCATACGTTTCAACTGAACTGACGTTGATGTCTTGAATGCACAATAACATGTGGGTTTTCTTCATCCCAATTATGATTATTATGAAAATTGAATATACCTTCCCTGGTAAAATTAGCTTACTAGAGCTTACTCTGTTTATAAAATTCATTATATCTTATAAACGAAGACAGATAGGACATATATTCATATGACTTTTTTTCATTATTTTTGAGCGTACAATCAGCTCCCAAAATGAGTCCCACAAGTAATGAAATACCCTATATATTTGTCTATTCGATTCTAGAAAAGAGACATTTATGGATTTATTAATTTTTGCCAATTTAGTGTTCGATTTAATAACAGCTGATTTATTCAAGACAATAATAATATTCAATATCTACTTAAATAGTGTTTCACTAAACTGAGTGAAAAAGGCAAGTTCGAGGCAATCAACGTTATCGTATTAGAAATATTCGCGTAGCTGAATAAAAGTTTGTCAATTATACAGGTCGTAACTTCGAGGAAAAAAAAAAAAAAAAAAAAAAGTTTCCATGCTTTATCTAATCAGATACAAACACAAATAGATTTTACACAGTGACTGGAGATTGGATATTGCTAAATCAGACTGTTGCTAAAATTTAAATGAGACCTTATAATAATAAATAATAAAGTCTTTATCTTCGATATTTTCAAATATTTATTAAAGAAAGAAATTAAAATATAAACATCCAAGAAGGGGTTAAAAATCGATTGCCGAGCTACATCTGTTTCAAATTTTGCCAATTTCCTCTCTCTCTCTCTCTTTTTTTTAGAATTTTACTACGCACGAAGGAGAAACGTCTCTGCTCATAATCAATAAAACGAAACGGGGGAGGGGGAGTGGAGAACAACGAACGTTTCACGATGTTGACAAATGCGAGGACGATCGTATAAATAGCGAGATCTATTTCGCGATCTCTTGCAGCCATTCACGTGTTCCGCTCGTAATTTTTGGCCGCTCCACTTCGCGATGATTTTACAAAAATAACGCCGGCGTTGCTCAATTTCCGCGAGAATTCTGTTTCGTATAACGGGGGCGAGATTTGATTTATCGCCGCTTCCGGTCGAGCCGAGGGCATCCTTTCGCGGAAACACGACGAAGGACACTGGGAAACAGAGAAATGATTCTTCTCTCGAGAAACACGGATTCGCGAAAATGAATTTCTTTCGAGAATTCGAGTTCTGGTGATCTTTCTGGGCCACGCTTAATTTGGAGTTCTGGCACCGGTTTTGCGAGTGATATTTTTGGCCCTAGAATTATGGGGTTGAACATTGAACAGCTGTCTTCTGCAGCTTTTGTTCTTGCAATTACTTAGCAAGCGTGTCTTACTGTACACTGTGACTTAAATTTCAAGAGAAGCGAACAATTGACTTTAAACAGAATTGGATGTCATTCTGTTAATCGAGGGACTAACCTGATTCAAAGACATTTGTCATTTTATAAGAAGACATCTGTTCGCAGTGATAGTCGAGAGAAAATTCATAGTAAAATCGAGAAGAGCAATGTGATTCCTCTAAAAAAAAAAGCCAAATTATGAAGATCAATAATAATAAAGATTTTCATAATCGGTCAAGAATTAGAACCGTCTCAGCAACAGTTTTTATAATTTCTTGCACTATTTTAATAACAACATGCACCATTTTAATAAAATGGCTCAAATATAAAAAATCAGACATAGATTAAACAATTTATCAATTTTTGTGAGAATTTTATAACACCAGAACTACCAACGAGACTGAGGCATTAAAATTTCCACATCAGGGACATTGAAGACAAAAGAATAGAGGAGAATTTACAATACAAGCAAGTATATACAAGCTTTTATTCATATGTATCACGAAAAATGATTTAGAAATAAATAGTTTTTAAAAATACATGTTTGAAATTATAAATTGGTCATTTTTGATCGCTTTGGTAGTTACAGGGCAACCATGAGAATCATTTGAATCCAATTTAATCGCAGAGATATCTCTACTTAAACGGAGAGGATTTCGGTGGGCGTTACAATCTCTATAGATGATGAGATTGACTGTTTTATTTACCTGTTGCGTGGTATGCTGAACCAGTATTCAGGCCGTAGCTTCTTCTTGCCGTAGCTCATAATAGGCGTGGATCGTGGAATCTTCTTGTCTTTAGGTCTTCCGGTTCGCAGTCTCAGGTACAGCGGTGGATCCTCGCAGGAATGGGCTGGTCGTGGTATAAGCTCTATATAACGCGACAGAACGATTCATTATAACAAGCGCGACTCTCACCTTCGTATTCTGGCATTCGTTGCTTTACTAATTGATTCCCTCGATATTCATTCTCAATAGTGCGACAATCGACACGCGATGTCTGCGATCTCTCTAAACGAATCTCCCGACAAGACACACAACAATTTAAATACCATAGAATATACATTCCCTTCAAATTAAAAAAAATAAGAAAGGTAGGAAGAAAAAAAAAATAGAAAAAAAAAAAAAAAAAACAGGGGTGATATAAGAAGCTCATTTTTTTGAAGAACATTTCAAAAGGCATCGCAGACAGTGTTATCGAATTTGTTCTTTCCGTTTCAAATGTATGCTGTTATTTATGTATTATACAAAAGTGGGACTGTAAGACAAACGTACAAATCAGAAAACGAGTTACAGTTAGAGTACACGAAAAAACGGGCACAACACATCGCAAGGAAGAGCAAAAGTACGTGAGAAACAGCGGTGAAGAAAGAAGAGAGAGAGAAAAAAAAAACTCAGAATCAATGTTCTGATTGGTGGATGGACGAATTGGATATGTAATATATATATTCTCGCCGTGAAAATTGCACAGATCATCTCGAGGAAAATAAACGCATTCGTGTGCAGGTGCAGGTGGCAAAAAAAAAAAGAAAAAAAAATCGAAACGGAAACGTGTGAAAGTGAAAAAAGTTTTAACTCTCCACAGGACAACACAGATGGTAAGATCGTCGATGGTGCGATTCACGAGCAATTCATTGACTGCATGATATGGCAATAATAGTAAGAAACGAAAGGATGTTGCGTAAAAGGTGTGTAAAAAAAGAAGAAAGAAATAAAAAAAGAGAAAAGAAAAGGAAAGACGAATAAATAATAATAGTCTGTGGAGGTACGGTGATTTACGAGAGGGAGTAAAAGCAAGCTAATACAGTATGAACCTACCGAGGCCTTCGAGTTCGGGAAAATTAGGTGCTTGGACTAGAGGGACAACAAAATATATGACATTACTGCATTAGTATGAATTCATTGACCAGACGATCGTGAAACTCGTTCTGCTGTGCCTTGTAGCGATCAAAAACGTCACTTTTAATTCTTAAGTTTAACTTTGCAATTGATTTTAAAATAGCATATTATTTACACAGTGAAAGAATGAAAATTCTTCAACGACAGACAGAAGAGCAGAAAGGGTTTCAAAATCCTGAAGACATAATAATGTTCCTCGTTTTTTTTTTTTAAATTAACGATAACGAGCTTAAGAATGAAGGGGTTCGAGTCCAGACTCTGTGACAGGACAGTAAAAATAGAGTGACAGAGTCCAAACCCATACGATCATGAGAGAATCGGTGTTCCACGAATCTGTGTCGGGTATGCGAAATACTTGGAACAATCTCAAATCGATGATTGTTTGCTCGGTAAACGGTGGCACAGATTCGTAGAACAACGTTCGACGAGGGGGGAATGACACACCGAGTTCAAGATGTATAAGAGAAAACTGGCAATGACAAACGAGTAGAGAATGTCAAGAAACCATACAGAATAACAATCGAGACTAAACGTTTAAAATTTGTGTGACACAATGTTAACGTAAGCGCATTTGGTCGATCGAGTTGGGCCTTTCTCGTTTCGCCTGGCGCGAAGAGAAGAACGTCCGTAAGGTTGGAAAAATGTCGAATCAAAAAGACGATCAAAGATTCGAAGAAAGGGGGCGATAATAAAATGCACTAGCAAAATAACATCGTTTAAGAAGCCGTCTATACATACGAGCGAGTGCAGTGCGTGGAACGTAATCCCGTTTGCCATCATTTATTCACCGTTTCTTTCACGTGTTCGCGGCTACGTGTGATTAATTATAGAGTTATCGATCCCTTCGCAGAGTGTTTTCCTTTCCTGTTGACGTAAAGACTCTTCTCTCTAACAATAATACGATACTCTTAAAAATAGCCGTTTCATAATAGACCTCATAACTGTTTCTTCAAAAAAGTCCATCAACAAAACGAAACACCCTGTAAAGGCTCATGAGTTCGTAGAGACATTTTGTGTGAGCGGAGTCTGTCACAGTATATCTTACAATCATTGAATTAATCATTCAGAATATATATATATATATATATGTATAGAGAGAGAGAGAGAGAAAGAGAAATTGAAATATATCGAGTTCCACAGAGAAATCGATCGAGAAATTTCTGACACTTACTGTCGAAACTGACGAACAGCTCCGGCATATCTTCGACAGAGACCATGCTACGGTAGTCCAATCGTGGAGCGGTGGTCGATGTTTTGCTGCCTCGACTACTGTCCACGCTGCTGCTACCTGACGACGTCAACGGTTGCTGCCTGATGAACGTGCCCACGGAAGACCGCCTGAAAGGAAAAACCAGGAAATTATTGATTGTCGATTAACACCGCTGAGAGATCGCGTTTCAAAATCACGAGTACACGAGAATTCACTGTTTCGTGTTCACTGTAATTTCGAAGCAGCGTACCACACCGAGTGATGTACATATTGCAGACATGATAGAGAGCGATCGAGTCGTGGAGAAACAATGACATTCAAGATAGATGTTTAAAACTGTATCCAACATGTATGGTACGGCGAAATAAAGTCGGATGGCTGCTCAGGGGTTTACTAAAACGCTGTGTTCGACTGTAATCGATAGTGTGTTGTCTGTAAGCGATAACTGTAGAGCGGTATATATATATATATATAATATAGTATATATTTGTTTTTTAATTTCGATTTCTGAAAGACGGTAGCACATTTACCTGAAAGCAGGAAAAACAAGAGAACGCTGATCTTTCTCAACCTCGAGAGAAAAGTTTAACAGAAAGTATTAAATAAAACTGAAGTGAGACGAGGACAGGTGAGGTAGTATAACGAAGTATAGAGTATCGTGTCGGATGCTTGAACAGGTGGAACTTACAAGAAACTCGGATTAATTTCACATCCTGCGAAACATAATCGTCGGTCGCATAAAAAACTGGCAAGAGAACGATCTCACAACATGAGTCTCACGTGTATAATTATAAAGGGAAAACAACAAGAAACAACGAGCTAGATGTATCTATAAGAAGATAAACGTTCAACCAAAAATAATAGAAAATTCAACAGCCAATAGGATAGAGATAAAAGAAGAGAGATAAAGAGATAAAGGCAAAGACAGAGATAGACAGAGAAAGAGAGAAACGGACAGAGACAGAGAGAAAGATAGAGAGAAAGAGAGAAAGAGCGAAAGAGAGCGGAACAACAGTGGGCAGAATAAAAACAGAGAAATCATAAGGACAAAGTGGATTTTAACGTGGATTTTACATTATTAACTTGCTGGTTCATGACCGGGCCCAAACTCACCCCATAAGCCCTCCTGGACCAGGTGAAATCTGAGGATTGCTGGAGTCCTGGGAGAGAGAGGAGGCGGTAAGCGGAGGTGTCCCTCCGGCTCTACCGCCCCCACCGCTCTCTTCGCTGGGAGTTTTAGCAAACAGGCCCGAGCTAAAGTCACTCACCAGGTTGATCGGCGAGCTTATATCCACCACCATTACATATTCTTTGTTAGTCACATTGGAAACTATGGTTAAGCTTTATGTTTAACACAGATTTACCATCACAGTCTGATTGCTCGTATCGGTTTCAAAATGGTAGAAAAATAACCAGTATTCTCAAATCAGCCCCTTCGAATCAGTTTGTGCCAAATTACATTAATCGATAGAAATCATTTTAGGGCATGTTGTTATTTCAATGATTCTATTTCTCCTCGTCGGATACACCACATTGAGCTAAATGACTAATTTGTTGGTTCCATTTCGTAAGAAAAAAAAAAAAAAAGAAAAAAATAAGAACGGAGGAGCAAAATTGAAAGAAAAAAAAAAAAAACGGACTATGATGGTACGAGCTTATCGAAGACAACGTCTGGATTGAGTTGGAAACATTACACGTGCCCATTCCTTTGATTCGTTTACCGTTTAGAAATTGAAAGAAAGATTATTCCAAAAGCGCGTTTCGCAAATGCAAATAAGCTGCTTGCTTCTGCGCGCAAATTTCTAATTAATGTTCTATGTTATAACGAACGGGGATATTCATAATGAAACGTGCTTTTCGAAATAAAATCTTTGCCAAGCTTATGCGCCATGTACGCGACCGTGTTTCACTATGAATAGCCCCGAGTACGTTGTAAATGTTATTTTGAACTTCTAAAAGATCTCAGCAGAAAGCGATTACATGGAAAATAAACGTTACACCATATAAAGGAGGCCCGAGCATTGAGAACCTTTCCTGTATATAGAAAATATGCAAATTTCTTTTTCATCGAGTTACTCATTACTAACATACACGAATAGTAAAGTAAAATATAAAAGCGCATGATATTAATTTAGAGAACAATTATTATATCATATGAATTACAAAGAAAAATCCTTGTAAACATTTTATAAACTTAACAGGGCTAAGTGTTATCACCTTGAGAAAACTTTGCTGAAAACTGACGAATGATGAGAATCCGCACTATTAGGAAGACTCGGAACTTTATCAGATCCAGATTTACTTTCATCTTCCTTTTCGCCAGTTAACCCTTCCACCCACGACAGAGGATATGACAATCGTTTTAACATCTGAAACAAATGACAGAAACAGTTAAAACAAAATACAGATTACATCGAATGGATGACAAAGATGGATCTAATAATATCACCTTATTCCTGCGAGTCTCTTGTTTGTCATCGTCTTTATGTTCCTCATCTTTCTCAGGTTCCTCCGTATTATTACTGTCTAAGCTAAATGATACTGAACTCGCCTTCTTCCTACCATTAACGGCAGAACCACTATCTAGCGAATCAGTTGTAACGTTCGTCGGAGCAATAGTAATAGGAGGGACCCAATCTGAAGATAAGACAATATCTGCGTCTGAATAAACTTTCTTTGTGGGGTTGGGCTGAACTACTGGGAAAGGGGGATTAGGGTCACGTATGTCAATACCAGAGTCGTGGCATGACAGTTTGACTAGAGATCCTTCTTCGCCTTCGGGAATCACCTTCGACTTCGCGGAATCCGTCTGTAAATAAAAACGTTTATTGTACCTCAATTGGTGATCGAAGATAGGCGTGAATTTTCATAAAAACGAGTAATTGATCTCACTTTGTCAGAATTTAAAGAATCTTGTTGTTCATCCTCGACAGGCCATGGATACTGATCTTTACTAGGAACTGGCCAGTGATGATCAAGCATAGAACGTCTACGTTCCTCTAACGTTCTACTTGCTTGACCACTGCTCACCTCTTTAGTCTCCTTCTCCTTCTCTTTTTCCTTCTCCTTTTCTTTGGTTGTCGTTGTATCGTCCTCCTGTTAACAAAAGGACAATTATTTGACAACTATCACATTGCAAAAATATAGTCGTTAATGTTTAAATTGATGTACATTTTGAAGATTAGTGGGAGTAACGAGATCTCTCTCAAAGGCCTTTGGAAAAGCATCTCCATCTCTCTCGGTACAGCTCTCGTTTTCAGCATCGTCTGCAGTTAATTCTGGAAAATTCTCCTCCTTTTCTGGCGACTGACACTTGACAGTTTCACTTTGTGAAGGTTTCTTCATGTAATAAATTTCTGGCTTCTTATCCAAGTTTCCGGATTTTGTGTGTCCGACACGCATATGCGCAATATCATAGTAAATTGCAGCATTCACCACAAATTCCATTGGTGCAATTACACCGTAAGACTCAGCACCATGTTCGATTACAAGAGGATCGGAAACATTTGGATCAAACATGACTGCATTTGGTGTAACTAGCAATACTCCACCAACAACACCCTGTAAATTGAAAATAATAAATAACAGGCATTAAAAAATATAGGAAGCTTTATATAAAAATAACATAAACCTTACCTGACCATCTGTGATATGACGAACATTAATTTTCAAAAATCTCTCTTTAAATGGTTGTTCTTCTTCCTCTATAACTGTATTTGTGACGCCAAGAGGTGTTTTCACTCTTTCATGGCTTACTTTTGGTGACACTGGCCTCAAGTTGTCCAAAAGTTCTAAAAAGAAAAATATGATATTAATATAAAGTTTTATTTTACTATGAAATATTTCTGAAAGGTTAAACGCAGCTCACCCATATCGAAAATAAAAAGAAATTATGTGTTTCAGTATCACTTCAATGCTACACAAACATACAATTATTTTGTAGTATTTAATTATGAGAAATGAACGCTTTGTGTGACGGAATCTTTAAGTGATACTGTTTGATTTAACGAGAGTAGCAAATAACAACATGACAACAAGATTTGTACTTTATTTGAAATGAAATCAGCGTGCATTGTTTGTTTTCTATGGTTTATAGGTTATGTTTGATATCCACAACAACGCCATGTCCCTTACATAGTTTACATCGCGACGCCGATCAGCTGACGCAAATGCAAAATATATGCAAAATATACATATGTGCATGCATATGTTGAATGACAAAAGAAATAAAAAGGAAACTAAAATAATAACAAATCACGAAATTTCATGAAATTATTATAAATATATCGTAATTATTTTACTTTACTTTTATATAATCATTCAAAATAATTAAACTTAATAATTTGCAAACGAGCATATGGGAATGAATACACTTAGGAGTAAAGAGTAAAATTAAACGTTCTTCATAAATTACGTACGATCACAAATACATTTTTAAAACTTCCAACGACACTTCTAAAAGGCACTTTAAACAGTTTTACTAAGTTAAAATTGTGGCTATCGATTGAAACGTTTGTCAAAATAGGTATAGGTCACGGAGAGAGAACAAGATAGGTAGAACGCGCGGGAAACGGAATACACAGCGAGGGACACATGCTCTTTCTAAATATTGATCCGCCAATTCTCTTCTTACATAAATTATCTACACAAAACTAAGCCACATCACTGAATGTATAATTCTATCCTCAATGGATACTTCGCTTTTTACGATTTTATGAACGTCCATATATTTAACAAGACTGTGTAAAGTGGCGCCACCGAATGCTCAACTTCCGTTCTTTCTTAGTGCGCCGTTTCAAAAATATCCTCTCTAACGTATTCGGTATTTTGTAAACAATCTTTTATAGAATTTTATTTCAACAATTATCGCATCGATGTTGATCTCGCTGTTCGCTTAATTGCGTCACGTATACCTACTATTTTTACTCTCACCTCGATTATCATTTTACAATAGAATGTAGTACCAAGTTACGCCATGATTCACGTATTCAAATAAATCACGTATTCAATATCACGTGTTCAAATAAAAATCAGTATCCTAGTTTAAATCAACTTTTTTCCATAAGTTAATCAAAGAATATTTTTAGCGAGAAGAAGATTTGAGCAAATGGAAAAAATTAAACAAAATTTGGAACTTTGCACAAATGTGGTTTATGCGACGAAAGTAACGGATCAGTTTTCTTTTCTCGCTGAACTTTAAAGAAAATACATCTCCAATGAAGTTATATAAATTACTTATGAAATTGAGAAAAAGTTAAATTAAACACCTCTTGCGCTAGTAACTGGTTCACGGACCATAACGAGTGACCAAACCGTCATACAATAACTCGTCTTTTTTTTTTAATTCAGCGGTATATCATTGGATAGAAATTATTATTATTTATTTTGCCTGGGTTATATTTCAATATACTTAAAATTGAGAAAATATTGCAATTTTGGGCCAAATAATCTCGACGGTCTTTTACAATCTGTATACTACAATATAAATTTCTTTTTTTTTTTAAATTTCTGAACATTTTTTACCATCACAATATAGACCGCAAAATACAATTCAACTTTTAATTCGACTATTCTTCTACATCTCACGCTCTCGTAAATAGTCACGATTAATATGAAAAATCAAGATTTCTTCTCGAGTGTTATTTTCACCTGCAGGACCATTTCTCAGCAGAAAAAAATTGCTCCATTTATGTCACATGAACAACATACATCTGTGCAAATTCTTCCAATTCTTCCTTCAATTTTCTAATTTTTCAAACTTTCTTTGCGAGTCGCAATAAATAGCGTCTATCCGTATCAAAACGTTGGATCATGCGGCGAATGTAATCCGAAAGCAAAATTAGCGCGGGCGTCAGTTCATGAATAATGGAACAGAGAACCGAATGGCGTTCAGGTAAGTCGGACTGACTCACCTGGCCAAATATCAAGATGAATTGGGTCTCGATTGTATCCGACTGGACGAAGTGTCGCGCAGAATATTAATACCAATCTATTGCGTTAGACAGATAAGACTTGGACAGATATGGCTCGTTGCATTAAATGCGTGTCTTCGAACGTACGTTTCACATGTCAATTAAATACAATACATTTTCCTGACGTTTGTTCCAGGCTAATGAAACGTTAATAAATTCCGCCAGTTCCATACAGTGAATTTTTCTATCCGTATGCTTTTCTTTTTTCCCCTGTCACCTTCACTCAATTACATATCGTAACAGTTCGGAGGAAATACGATGTCAAAAACGTCAAAAATGGAAATGGAGATAATATGATAACACTCTGAAATGGCCTGACACTCGAATTTCGAGTGGAAAGAAATTCTTATCTCGAAATTACTTTCATTTAGGCAAGGTACTCTCTGTTGATATCGATCATATTAATTGGAGTAAATACTTTTTGATACAAACGCAAGGAGTTCTTAACAACTAACGTTTTAAATACGATCAAGAAGAAACGCGTACGTTGGAAATCACAATTGCAAACGAGATTGCGTAGCAAACGTGTCAACAATCAAACCTTCAAATCTCACGCAACATTGGTCAAGTTGTCGTCAGCGTTTGCAATATTCAATAACGGGTAAATATAAACTCATTTTCATTCCCTGGTTTTTTTACCAAATCAGAATTAAGTGAAAGCAGCAACGTTGAATATTTACAATAGTTCTAAAACTATTGGCAGGTATCTTTTCAATGAAACGCTTTCATTCACCTCGCTTTCTCGTAGCAAAAATTTTCTGTAGTCGTGTGAAAGATATGAAATTTAATAGAAAAATACAACATCATACTCTAATTAAACGATGTGTTTTATTTAAAATTTAATAGCCAATCTTTATCTAAAATTATCTGGCAAAATATTTAGTGTATTGTAATTATGTATACATATAAATATTTATCTTCCTGATGTGGTATAATTTCCGTGCAAGAGAGAGAGCCAAGCCACATATTATTTCAGTCTAATGATAGTAATTATTGTATTCCATGATTTCTATAAGAAACTCAAATGTGGGTCAAGAGAAGAAACCATATAAGAACAAAATTTAAATAGGATTCTCCATCAACTGTTAATCATTCGTTATTTGCAAAGCCGTCGTATTTTCAGAATTTTCAGAATTTCCTCGCGCGATTTCACGTACGTAAGTAATTTGCCAAATAAGATATTTCGCAACGAGGAGAATATTTGTAACATTGCTCTCTTAATCGAATGTTTACGTTCAAACGTCCAAAAAGAAAAATCAAAAGATACACTATTTCTATGTCAATACAAGTCAAGATGAGAAAAAGATAGTCGTAATTATGGAACAGTCTAATGAAACACGCAACTTCCGATAAAAGCCTCAAGAGTTGGTCAACTCTCTCTTGAATCCCTCAATTAGCATATAAACTAGCCGATGCTTTCTGCGCTGCCAGTAATATAAAACACTTAAGATTAGAATTACCTTTTTCTTCTGGTGGCAGGTCATCCTGCGACTCGTGATCGTGACAAGTAACCGGGCTCGGTGCATCGGCAGTTCCGCCTTTTGTCCGACCTTCTCCTTCCACCGGTATCCACAGCTGTTGGCCGGGGTAAATGAAAGTACTTCCGAGCCTGTTGAATTTGCTCAGCTCGGATGGCGTTGTGTCGAATCTCGCGGCCACGGACGTCAGCGTGTCTCTGTCGCCCACCTGCACCATAGAAAACGGAGACGTGTAGTTGCGTTTACGATTATCCGGTGTAATTGACAGACAAGGTCTAACAAGGGAAGACGAGAGTGACTCTCCATTGTCCGTGGCAAGAAACTAATTACGGGTGGGGACACTTTAAACTGCTCTGTCCTACGTCGTCGACGAGACACAAAAATAGATTATGGAGAGGGAACCTCTCATTGTGTTGTTTAATGCATGAATTAAGGTTTGTTCAGATCAATAAACTTCAATTTTTTTTCTTTCCTTTTGAATTAATAACGACGTGATTGCAGTGTCGTGTAAACTTTCAACTTTTTAGTACCTGTAAATTGTTAATGAAAGTTAGTCGCTCGTTCTTAGTGTCTTAACAAGTATCTTATAATCAAGTGGATATTTATAAAAATCGAAGGATTTATAACTTCATTCTCTTTTTATCGAAACGATCTAAAGGGAAATTCGCGTGGAAATTGCCATCATCCACCATTCTGTCTGAAGCCAAGTCCCGCAGCCTCTGTCCAGTGGGGCACAGGGTTAGCCAACCCTAAATGCAAATCGCTAGCCACGGTTGCGTGCGAATAATAGATGGTGCGGCTCGTTGAATCGATACCGGATGGCCGGGAAGCCGATCAGGGATCATCGATCGCGAGATCACGGGGTATGCATCGATGACGATCGGTACGTCCGGACGCGTCGTCGGCGTGCCAGCAGGGTAGATAGACTGGCTCAGAATCAGGGCGAATATCGGTGAAACGCAATTTCACAGACCGATGCCGACGTGCTACGTTATAAGCCGTATCCTGCGCCGCAATTTGCAAACGTCTGACGATCATACTTCATCGGATCGTTCGCGAGTAACAGTTTCGTTTCTACGGAGACGATGTGGATCTACTTGCCCGCGATTAATCTCACGAAAGACAATTACACGCACGAGGCTGTTACAGCAGAGCGTGAAATCTGAATTATCCCTCAAATGGGTAAAATAAAGTTCTGTCTAATTTTTAATTCCAGCTCTGTCTAATTTTAAATTAGTAACTATTGATATTATGTGTTGGTATCATTATTTGAATTTTTTTATTTGTTGTTAATATATATTTATATTATTATTAAATATTAATATTATTATATATTATATAATATTGAATATTAAAAACAATATTAAATAAATTAATAATACTAATAATATTAAATATTAAAAACAATATTAAATAAATTAATAATACTAATAATATTAAATAATAATTACATAATAATATTAAATATTATTAACAATATATTTTTTATTAATTTATTAATTTTCTAATAATTGTTGTTTCATTCTCTCTCGTCACAAAGGGAAGTTTATACCAATTTGGTCTAAATGTTACAATTGAAATTGATACGAGTTTGCTTGAGGACCGATCGTGGACATATTTTACATAATTCTGCAGAAGTGTTGCCTTCTGTACAAGCGAACATCTCAAATACTAATTCTCAGGAAGAAGGTGTGAAAAAAATCTCTTGCAACAGATGTCGCCAGTGAATATCGCCACGCATGCAATTTGGGAGTTTCTCCCTAGTTATAAATTATAAGACGAAATTAGAGAGATGACCGATGGTGATAACGTGTCGATGCAATGGCACGTTACGAAATTTCACACTGTGAAAGATGTTTATGCAACGTCCAACGTCACGACGCACATCGCGAAACGGTATATAGCGTGATGTGCGTGTATGACAGTTCCTGAAACACAGTACTATAATGTTCACGTAACGGTTCACTGAAACGTTTGTACGAGTAGCGCACAAATGGTGTCGTCTTGCAAGGCTCTATGCGACGTTACCGGTGCAACGTTCTGTGAAACGTTACCTGCCCCTCTGGTTTCATCGTCGTTCGTTTAAACAATTCGTTTCATCCGGTTGTTCCTTCCGTCCGTTGGCAGAAGCAAGAAGAGCCGCGCAGGAAAATTGAATTTACGCTTTCATTTCAATTTAACTCTAGCCAGCAACTCCTTTTCCGGCTGTAAAAACAGCAGCGAAAACACCATCTTTCCTTCTTTCTACCTTGATTAAAGCGAAACAATCGTTTCTCTCTCTCTCTCTTTTTTAAGTAATTTTAATCTTTAAACATTGAGAAACGCGGCGAAAGTAAAGATAAAAAAGATTGCCTTTTTTTTTTTTTTTTAGGAAGGAGGTTTGCAGAACATTAAGATTAAAAAATTTCAACTGTTTGGAGATACGTTTACAGGGCTGAGTTTAACTGAAGATTATTAAGATGTTTAGACTTTACTTCAGAGCGAAATTCTGGCGACACGCGACGTTCAGAGTATTTTAACACACCGTCTAAAGTATCGGTCAAACGTTTCAAAGAGGGAAAGTCTTCGATACGCAAGGAAAATCTAATTCTTATCAATGACGAGTGATGCTTTTAGTAAAGAGGATGTGACGTAACCAATTTTAAAAAAGCAGATACAATGTAAATTTTAATCTTTATGTTATTTAATTTCAATTTAACTTTAATCTCTATTTATTATTTAATTTTAATATTTTATCGAAAATAAGCAAGTCTAAATCCATCCTGGTGATAATAATTTATCAAAACTCTACCTCTATTATAATTTACAATTTGTAATTCGTAATTTACAGTGTCGTTGTAACTTATCAAAGTATGATGTTTATAAAAAAATGCATGAATGTTTATAAAAAAATCGAAAAGATCAAGGAAAAAAAAATTTGCAACAATATTCTGTTGAAACACTCCCTCTGATTCATATCAGTAGAGCGTCTCTACGATTACTGTGTCCCTCTCTCTCCGCGACAATCGTAACTACATTCGTGCCAATGCCGTGAGAAACCATTTGCATAATCCGGCAAGGAGATATCGGGTGGCAGAAAATTGAATTCCTTGAAAGAGAGACGGCTCGAGAGATCGGTCCGTATTATCCATATGCAATGACCTTTAAACGCAGCTAGTCCTAACACGATCGTTCGACAGTTTCGTAACAATGCAGCACCAATTTGATAAATGTTTAATCAACGAGCCTTACGTTACACGCCATCTGCATTAATTATAAGTTCACCGCTGTCTCTCGTGCCGGTTTTGCTGAATTTAGGATGACTACGTCTGATCATGACGCGACACGATCTACTGTGCGGTAGAATTTCGGTGAGCACGCGCCCTAATCAAGAACAGGCGAAACGTCTGACTATAACGTGACTCGATCTACTTCACTCTCTCCGCGCGCGCGTGTGTGTGTGTAACGATACTCGTCGGCTCTTCACAAAATTTCGATTGAAATATTATCTTTGTAGCAAGACGAATATAAATTAGCTCTCGCTTTAATTATACGCTAATGCCCTGTTATGTTATTTGTTAAAGGAGAGTGTTTTTGATATTGAAATAAAATACTATTCTCGGTAAAAGGCTTTCGAAAGTATTTAAAAATGTTAAAAATTTTAGGAACAAAGTATCGCTGTATTATTATTAGCAATATTTCAATCGGAAGTTTCCTTATACGAAAGTAAAAAATTTCCATGTTTTTGGAAACATTGTGATCGAAAACTTTTTTTAGTTGGTAGTTTCAATGAAGCTATATATATATATACTATATAATAAATACTATAATAAATATTATATAATATATATATAATAAATACTAATATATGCTACTATGTATATGATATTACTATATATTACTATTATATATATAATAACTATATATAATACTAGTACTATATACATAATAATACTAATATATACTACTATATAATATAATAAATACTATATAATATATATATAATAAATACTAATATATAAAATATATAATATGTATATATATTATATATAAATATTACATTATATAATATATAATGTAAATATATAATAAATGCTACAAAAAAATATAATATATATATATATATATATAATAAATACTATAATATATATAATTTAAATAATATATATTATATATATTTAAATAATATGTATAAAAAAATATATATATATTTAAATAATGTGTGTGTGTGTGTGTGTATATATATATATATATATATATATATATACACACACACATATATATAAAAGCATTTAAATTTAAAAATGAGTGTAATTCAGCAAACTGTAAAAGATAGAATCGTATTAAAGTATTCTACACGACTGTATAACTTACAATTTATAAATTATAAATTTCTCTCAATCATTTTCCTCCACTTTCCACAAAAATATTTTTCGCGACATTGAAATATCTGTTCCGTACTGAGAAAATTGATTGCAGATATTAGAAGCGAAATGATTTTTAACTCGAAATCGACGCGAATGGATTTCTCACGTCCGAATAACGACGAGATATGACAGAGAGGGAGAGAATTCGTAGTCGCAGGTCCTCGAAGAAAGATCAGCCAGGAGAAGAAGATAGTGGTGGTGCGGCTTGAAGTAGGATCGACCGAGAGAAGACAAAAAAGATGCGGAACAGGGTGATGAAGCTTTCAAGCCGAAGAAAAAGGAAGAACGCAAGCCGAGGAGAAGAAGAGAGATGATGTTTTGTAAAACGACGGAGTAAGAAGACAACTCTCGGCATTGTTTCAGTTTCTATGTCTTTAGTTTCAGCGGTTCTCATTGGGCAATTCAGTTGCGACGAATCTGGATCAAGTTTTGCTCTGTTTCCGATCAATTTTCAATTCAATTTGTATTAATAATAAATTAAACTAGGACAAATAAATGATCAGACATCAGCTTAAAGACTTAGAAACGGTCGATCAAAGTTGCACGTGGATCATTCACACTTCACTGCAAGTGTCTGTTTTTATTTTTAATTAAATTCATGCATTTGAATCGAAATAACCAAATATAATTTAGATCATTATACGACATCATTTAAAGAGATCTGTAATCTCCTCTCATAAATTTCTTTCAATAAGTAACTAACCTTCAATGAAACCTAACCTAAACCTAACCTAAAATCGACCATCTTCGACAAATACATATTTGACGACAAGAACCAAACTCGAATCTTCCTAAACATCATTATAGTTAATAGATACGTCCAAATAGTGTACTACTTAGAGTTTGTAAAACGATTTATAATCTCCTTTCATAAATTTCCTTCAATAAGTAACTAAGCTTCAATGCAACCTAACCTAAACCTAACCTAAAATCGACCATCTTCGACAAATACATATTTGACGACAAGAACCAAACTCGAATCTTCCTAAACATCATTATAGTTAATAGATACGTCCAAATAGTGTACTACTTAGAGTTTGTAAAACGATTTATAATCTCCTTTCATAAATTTCCTTCAATAAGTAACTAAGCTTCAATGCAACCTAACCTAAACCTAACCTAAAATCGACCATCTTCGACAAATACATATTTGACGACAAGAACCAAACTCGAATCTTCCTAAACATCATTATAGTTAATAGATACGTCCAATAGTGTACTACTTAGAGTTTGTAAAACGATCTATAATCTCCTTTCATAAATTCCCTTCAATAAGTAACTAACCTTCAATGAAATCTAACCTAAACCTAACCTAAAATCGACC